TTACAACACTGGGATTTTTGAAGATGTCGGATAATTGTTTGATTTGAAGTATTTCCAGGAACGGTTTTATAGTAGAGCAACTCTCAAACAGATGGGTACAGTTCTCAAACTCATACATACAGAAAGCACATAATGGATCGGGCTTTAAATTTCTATTCCATAGGACGTCTTTATCTGGAAGGCAATTGAAGAGCAGACGGTAGAACAAATTTTTTTCAAAGCTGGTTAACCTTGGTTGTCTCCACAACCATGGCGAAACTTTACTGAATTCAGTTGGGTTCAAGTTGAACTTCGTGCAGCTTTTTTCAATTCTTTTTTTCCAACTATTTTCAAAGTGAAAGTTTTCCACGCATGCTCCATATATTTGGGAGTATTTTGTTTTCGCAAGGATGCTCATCATCCAACCTCGGGAATTTATTATCTCAGTGCTTTCGTCATTTAATGAGTTGATACTGAGTTCAGAGTTTTCTAGATCTCCATCTAGTTCTCTGTAAAACCTGCTCGTTGGATTATTCCAGTTTTCCATTAAGAGATGTTTCTGCAGTGGTCCGAAGCTGAAGTAGGCATTTTGAAAATCTTGGATTTTGGCAGCTAAAAGATGGGCCTGCAGGCTGGGAAGTTTCACTCCTCCTTTGAGCATGTCTCGTTCAAGGAATTGCAAAGCTATTTCACATCTCCTGCCAGCTCCCCAAACAATTTTTCTGGTTACTTCCTTGTACATTTTGAGAACATCTATTGAAATTAGATTGTGTCTTCCGATATGAGTTATTTGTGGTATCACAAAAGTGGAGACCGCAATAGATTTTGCTCTGTAACTCATGTATCGATTGAATCTGATCTTGTTGTTTTTAAGTCTTTTCAGAATTTCCTCATTATTTGATATTCTTGAGAGCTCTGGGTCTCCTAGCACTACTCCGAGTACTTTTGCTGTTCTAACAGTTTCCATATTTGGGTGATCGTACAGGCTTAAGGATTTTGATTTACTTCGATTAACTCGAAACTGGGTGCCTTTGCAGAAATCATCAAGTATTTTGTGCAGATGTTGAACCTCGTCAGCGCGAGTGAAAACTGTTAGGTCGTCAGCATACGCAACACTTCGTGTTTCAAGTTTACTAAAATAAGTTGATTCTCGTATTTGATTTAACAGTGGCTCGAGAGCTAAGATAAAAAGCAGAGCTGATAATGGGCATCCTTGTCGGACTCCTCGTTTCTGTTTGATTTCTCTTGAATTAAACCCATTTATTGCAACTGATGACTTAGAGTTGCAGTACAAGCTTTCTATTAGTGATATCAATTGGCTTGGGCAGCCAATTTTTCGTAGAATTTGGAACATATATTTCCGATCGACCCTATCAAAAGCTTTAGAAAAGTCGATTGTTGAAGCTACCACTTTGGGTTTTGATTTGCGGAGTCTTAATCGGATTTCAAGGATGGCTTGATGTATGGATCTATTGGGCAAATATGCATGTTGCTCGTTCTCAATCACTTCACTTAAAACTGGCTTAAGCCTTCCAGCTATTACATGTGACAGGATTTTCTGGTCTGTGTTTATCAAGCTGATCGGCCTATAGTCATTCGGCAGAAGACTCTCAGTTTCTTTCGGCAACAGTTTGATTATGGCTTTGTTGAAGGACTTCGGCATTTTAGCAAAACTAAAAGCAGATTGAAACAATGATAAAGTATATTGGCAAAAGAGAAGGCATGTTGTTGATATAATTCAGATGTAAGTCCGTCAGGACCTGGGCTCGTTCCTTTTTTTAGTTTACTTATTGCCATTTCAATTTCTTCCATTTGAAGTGGAGCATCAAGACTTTCGATGCTCTTGTCCGACAATTTTTTGTGAAAACTATTGAGAATCTCATACCGATCTATGTCCATCACTTGCTCTTCTTTATAGAGGTTTTCGTAGAACGATGTTGTTTCTTCCAATATCCGCTGTGTTTTAGTTGTAATATCCCCAGTTTGAAGTTTCATTTTTCTGATGACTGTTTTAGGTTGCTGTTGCCTAGCCCATCTTTTAATTTCTTTGGGGTTGCCGTCCTGAAGCTCTTTGACATTATTTTGAATACACGTCAAAATTTGTCGACACTCTTCTTGTTCTATTTTTCGCAGTTGACATTCGAGTTCAACTCTTTTTTGATTGCTTATATTCAAATGTTCAATTTGGGATTCTAACATTTGTTTGTATTTTGTTTCTAGTCTGATTTTCTGTATTGAGATGTTGCGTAGGAACTCACGTAATTCTTGCTTACTTACATCATAGTTTTCAATTGACCAATTTTCAAGACGTTTTTCTATTGTTTTTTTGTTATTTGGCAGAATGTTGTTATTCAATCTCCAGATACCTGGACCCATGTCCATTTGAGGTTCTTGAAAAGTTTGGTAACATAAGATCTGGTGGTCACTCAAGGTTGTTTCGTACATTTGGAATGTATCATCCGCCGTGAGAGTATTCGAAAAAATAAAGTCTATTCGGGTGCGTGTTCCAGTTCTGGAGCATTTATGTGTAACTTTATCTTTTTCTAGCTCAACTGCTGTGTCTTTAAGGCAATGTCTGTTCAAAATGGGTTCTACTCTTTTGAATATGGTAACATGTTTTTTCTTGAATACCTTTGCAGTCGAGACTATTTGTGCTTGATGATCTCTCTTGTGATTCGGGAAAGAATTCAAGTCTCCAACAAGAATAAGTGTGTCTGACTCATTTATATCATTTAATTCTGTCATCGCTTCCGATATTAGTTGGCAACTTTTGACATAATTTGCTGTTCTGACATACGCATTCACTACATATGTTCGTTGCTGGGGAAAATGAATTAGCTGGGACGCCCTGTTTTCTGCGATAACGGTTGCTTTCATAGACTTTGGCCAGAGTGTAAGTAGTCCTCCACTACGACCAATTGATGATGTATGAGCAGACTGAAGTTTGTAGTACTCTAGAGTTGTTCTCAACTTATGACTGATATCCGTAGTTTGGGTTTCTTGTAAACAAATTATGAAGTTTGGGTCATAGTTGAGATGGGTTACTTTATTCATTATGTGAATAAGTTTTTCGGGACAATCAAGCCCTCGGCAATTCCAGGTTAGGACTTTCATTGACTTCTTTCGACAGTTCCGACTCGCTATTCAAGCCTTTTTCGTCGGATGATTTGACCGTTTTTTGTCTGATACGACTTCTCGTGATTGTTCCCAGAGACTCAAACTGGGTTTCATTTTCGTTGCTGTAGTTATTTGGTTTGGTTTCAGTTTGGGGGAGTTTCTGCTTTCTCAGCTCGTATGCTCTTCGATTTACATTTCTTTTCACCACTTGCGAGAAATTGGTATTGGTATCGTAGCTGATTTCGCCGTCTGATTGTACTTCTTGGCTGACTTCTTTTTCGGATTGCTTTGGTTTCTTTTCATGATATTCGCTTTCTTTGCTTTTCATTAGGCGTTGATCAGACGGTTCTTTCTGATTATTTTTTGACGACCGAAACTTTTGGTAGCAATAGCTTACGTGATGGCCTTTGGCCCTTCTACCGGCTTTTTCACAGTGTTCGCAGATTAACAATGAGGGGATGTTGCAGAAAAACTGCGTTCCAAATAGTTCAAAGGTCTGCACACAACTTGTTTCGGCCCATGAGGATAATAGTTCTTCTTGTTTTTCGTCTTCGATAAGCATACGACATGATGCTCTTCCGGTGTATACACAGCCACCGTCTTCATCGTTCGTTGCAATCGTCTCTTTCTGGATCATAGTGGTTTGTTTCATCATATCTGGAAGTTTCACTGCTTGCAACACATCTTCGTCATCGAAGAAATGCGCTAGGTTTCTGAAATACATGTTGACTTCTTTAGGGTAAGCATCTATGACGCGTTCTTTAGGTCCCCAAGCAACTATATGCTTGTCTCTGATGTTTATTCCATTCAGCTTAAGTGCTTGTACTTCGTTGTATATCGATTGGGGGGCAAGCACTCGAACCGCTCTGAGTTTCTTGCCATCTTTTTTCGGAATTGTGGTTTTCAGAATGGTAAGATTGTTTCGACATTCGCGCGGGAGGCCTTTACGAATATTTGATACAGCTTCGGCAAATAGTTCTTCTTGTTTTGCTTCGTTCTCGAATATTTCTTTGGTAAAAGGTAAAACAAAATCGACAGTAATCGGATTTTTGTTTTGGTTGTTTCCTAAGTTTTGGACTGGTCCTGGTCTCGAAACCAAGCTTTCCGTAAGTTTTTGGGCAAAAGTTGGCTCTGGGGTACTAATTTCCCCTTCAATTATCAATTCAGTTGTCGATTCGGACATTTTTTCTACGCTTTTCCTTTTATTTCTAAGAAAATAACGTTAAAATGCAGAACCTGCACTAATTTTTGAGTGAACACTGATAAGTGCCTGTAAATTTACGTTAATGTGCGTTAAATTACGCTACTAATTTATGCTGAGTTTACAGGATGACCAAATATATGTTTCCCCTGATAACAATAAAGCAAGAAATTATGTAACAAAGTTAGTTTATAAACGATGGAGAGTGAGAGTGACAGGGAATCAATTCTTTCGTAAAAGGCGAAAGAATTTCACGATCAGGATTGGAGTCTAGAGCGAAGGTTACATAACGAGGGGTCTTAAATAGATCCATTTGTTCAGATCTACAAATCAGCTCTTAGATTTTTCAGATTTCATGGCAGACAGGATTTTAAACCAACTTATTTCATAAAGGTTGCATGTTGTATTATCAGGAAAGCTACGTGGATATAAAGTCATTTTAAAGATTAACGATAGAGATCTAATCGCTTGAAATGCATAATTTAGTTAATATAAAGAAAAAGCATACACGTGGCTCTTTACATATAAAGATCTACGTGTTATGTATAAGATATCCGGCAAAATTACAAAAGTATTGCTTTAAATTTTACCAGATTGACTGATTTCTTCGCTAATTTCCGTCGAATTCATGAATAATGGATTCTGATTGGCCGACAAAACTTACCCGAATTAATCGACGAATGTGTTTTTGATGTTTGTGAAGGTTCTGGTACGATAGACTTCGATGAGTTCCTGTACATGATGGCGAAGAAGATGCGGGACACCGACTCGGAGGAGGAGTTGAGGAGTGCATTCCGAGTGTTCGACAGAGACAAGGACGGATGCATCTCAGTCACCGAACTCAGGAACATCATGGGACCACTCAGCGAAGAGGAGGTGAGCCAATCCGGGTTGACCCTAAGTTGCAACCATACGTCGCACCATTTATGGCTCCAAAGAGCCTGTAGGATCAAGTTAAAAAACATTCCCCCCCCCAAATAGACCAAATTAAGATCCTCCACCCCAGCGCTTAATATAAATTAAATTTGCTAAGCGCTGCATGTAAAATGCTCGATTCTGATTGGCTGAAAAAACCCAACTTAGAACCAAGTTAACATCCTCCTCCGGCTCTTTTTCCTTTTCCCCCACCTCACTCAAACATGAACTTTTTGGTCTAACGAGTGGTTTTACAAGGTTAATTATGATGACCAAATATGTTTGTTATGGCCTAATTAGTCTGCATGTCAATTTTTCCGACAATTGGACAAAGTGAACAGTAACTTCAAATATAAAAATTTGCAGGTGGGGGGAAAAAAGGAAAAAGAGCCCCTCCTCCTCCGAAACCGGGGGGGGGGGGTCTTATGCGCTAAACGGCCCAAATTCATTATTTCTACATCTCTTGAATTGAAATTATTGTGGATGAATTTGATTGGCTAATTAGCCAATCAAGTTTCATCGACATTTTCCGCCATTTCAATTGAATTTTCAAGCAGATAAAATTATTAGCCGAAATGATAAAGAAAATTAAATTTGTTTTATCAAGCCATTTTACTGAATTTTGCTTGTCTGGGCAAGGTTTCACAAGTGACTCAAAATTAATTTGATAACTTGACTCAAAGTTCCACCTTTTCGGCAATTTCGGCTAATATTTTTATCTGCTAGAAAAGTTGATCGGAATGCCTGACCGTGTAACTTGAAATTGATTGGCTAAAATTACCCAATCAAATTTGATCGCATAAATTCCAGCTTACGATGTAGAAAAATTGATTTTGGGCCGTTTAGTGCATAAGACCCGGGGGAGGGGGGGTGGGGGGATTTGAGCGACGATGTTAACATGGTCCAAGCTATAGAAGATTACATGGTTCGATATATGATTGCACATTGTTAAGAGTCATGAACGTAGTGAATACTCTTATGTAAATCTTGGTAATTTTTTCAGCCATTTAATTGAACTTTTAATTTCGAAAAATGATGTTTTTTTTCAAAAACAACTCAGTTTTTCCCGATTCCGTGCGTTCCTTGACTCTTTTCCAACTGTCTGTTGGCTTTTTTTCTATAATGGTTAGAATGACTCTAAAACATATTTTTTTCGTAAATGGTTAAGTTTGATTGGCTGATGAAACATACGGTACCGCGTATGATTTTTAATGGTTTTTTGTATGATTTTTTCCTCATAGCTTATTTTCTGATTTGTTCTTTTCTCAAAAAATGAATAAATCTATGGGATGGGCAGATACCATTCGTATCTGGAATTCTCCGTGTCAACCTTTAACTGGGTTTTGTATTTTTCTCCCAGTCATAGCATTCTCAAATTGTTTCCTCTGGCAAATGGAGAAAAGCCCTGCCCACCCGTGCCATGAAAAACTGTTTTGGCCTGGCCTACTTTGTTTTTGAAAAGTTCTTCTAAGTCGACTTGGGGGATCCGTTTTCGCCTCTGCAAGGTTGACTGCAAAAAGCAGTGATACGTTTCCAGAATAAAGCTCTGTTTGCAGACCCAGATCAAATGAAAGAAATCAAATTTGTGCCTTTCTTTTAATCTTTCGATATAAGAATGGCGCCAATTTTTTTTCTCAAAGTGAAACAAGACTGCCTTTTAAGGTCTATGTAGCAATAATAACATGAAAAATTTAAAGGTAAAAAAATAATACTAAAAAAATTTTCAAAAAAAATTTGAGATTTTTTGGTAAAAACATCCCCCCACACGCCATATTAAGTACAAAGTGATCAATTTTGCTCCTATTAACATATCAATTATGGCATATGATCTTCCTTGAACCAGTTTGGAATGATTTCTAAGACGGATTAAATCTCGCTTACGCGTGAATAGCGCAAAATATATCGCGCGTTAATTGTCCCAAATTGGCCAAAATGGCAATCTTTAAGCCCCCATAACGTTACGAAAAATAGTCACAGAAGAAATATTTTTCCAAATTTAAGCTTCAGGACAACAATAGCTTTCGAATGATATTTAAAAAAATTCCGTCAAAAGTGGCTACTTAAAAAGTCGGAATTTGTCTGAAGAAAAAAAACCCACCGAGCACAAATATTCCGTTACTTCGTTACGAAATTCGGAAGAAAAAAATTACAAAATTTTGAGTTCCCCACACGCCATATAAACAACAAAGTGATAGATTTTGCTCCTAGTAAGGTAGAAATTATGACAAATAGCCTGTTTGAATCAATTTGGAACGATTTCTATAAGGGAGTAAATCTCCGCTTACGCTTTTAATAGCGCGAAATATATTGCGTTAATTGACCCAAATTGGCCGAAAAGTCAGTCTTTAAACCCTCATAACTTTATTAAAAATTATTACAGGTAAAAAAAAATTTAAATTTGAGCTCAGGACAAAAATAAATTTCGGCTGGTATAAAAAAATTCGCTCAAAAATTCTTAGTTAAAAAGTCGAAATTTGCCTGAAGAAAAAAAAACCCAACTCGAGCGCAAATATTCCGTCACTTTCGTTACGAAAGTCGGAACAACAAGACTGCTCGTATGTTCACTTTGAAAAAAATGATTATATTTTCGAAAAAAAAAATAAATAACAAAATTTTATGTTTTTTAATCATCCCCACAAGCCATATAAATACCAAGTGATACATTTTGCTCCTAGTAACGTAGAAATTATGACAAATAGCCTGTTTCAACCAATTTGGAGCGATTTCTATGAGGGATTAAATCTCAGCTTACGCGTTAATAGCGCGAAATGTATCTCGTTAATTGTCCCAAATTGGCCAAAATGTCAGACCTTAAACCCTCATAACTGTATGAAAAATTATCACAGGTAGTATATTTTTTCAAATTTGAGCTCAGGACAACAATAAATTTTGGCTGATATAAAAAAAATTTCCCTCAAAAATTCTTAGTTAAAAAGTCGAAATTTGCCTGAAGAAAAAAAAATCCGCACCGCACACAAATATTCCGTCACTTTCGTAACGAAAATCGAAACAAGCAATATTTCACAACTCCGCCGCGGTACGCTTTTTGAAAAGCTTTGATTGATTCTACTCCAAAATTGACGACAATTTGGGAAGATTCGAGTCTCGAATAGAATTAATTCAGCTGTCTGAAAACCCGGAAGGATTGATCCTCAAATTTGGGTTACAAAAAAAAGAAAGTAGACATGAATGATTGTTTGTTCATGCACAACATCATGGACTATGAATATTTGATAGAACAAATCCGAGCACGTTTTGAATGTTCCATTGGCATGCCAGACAGCTTTTGACTTCCAATTGTTTTTCGTCGGTTGTGAACATCAGCAGTTGAACATTATTGCCGGAACTGAAATCGAAGAGCAGAAAATCATCCCTCTAAGGTTGTGAGATACATCGAATGGCTCGGCAATATTTTCGGTCGAGTGGGGAGCACATTTGGTAGCTCGGAGTCTTTGAAAAGTTCTGGTTAAAGATTTGATCTTCTGCAAATGCGCATGTCCGTCTCAACATGAATCTCCAATGCGTAATCAACATAAATTGGTTGCGAGGATCGAGAGTACTTTTCATTTCTTTAATTGTACGTGTTCGGTTAATGGTCGAGGCCGTTCAACTTATCATTTAGAACACATTGCAGGGGAGGATTCAGAAGGAGGGGTTAAACGGGTTCAGAAAAAAATACTTGCTCAGGGATTCGAAGCCATGGCCCCTCAAAGATCCCATCTTTGGAACTAATTAGCGAAATATATTTTTGGTCAACTTCAAGTCAGGTCGACCTATCCTACAACAAAGTCAAGTCAAAAACATCATAGTAACAACATGCTGGTTTACCTGCACAAAGTTAACATCCTCTCCTTGAAGGCTTCAAGGAGGAATTAAAGGAAAAAAGACGCAGTTTCGAGCCAATTCTAATTGCATCTGGTGCAAGCAGCACTCAGCAAAATTATTCCAAAACAAAAAAGTAAGGTGAAGGATGTTAACTTGGTCTGTTTAGGGGAAGGTTTTTACTTGACGTCTCTATTTTTTCTGATGGACATCCTAGTTGTTTGGCTGTAGATCCAGGAGATGATAGGGGAAGTAGACAAAAATGAGGATGGATTGATCTCTTATGAGAGTTCGTTCAGACTGTGGTGTCCCACCAACGAAAAGTACTGGGAGAACATTGAGAAGGAGTTTCAGGTGAGTCTTCGTCATCATCATGTCAACATTACCCAGCCCAGAAAAATAACCAAAAAAATTGCATGTAGTTCTTAAACAGGGGCACAACAGCGGTTCGCCGTGATGAGCTGTACAGCTCTTGTGTTGGTCCTTTCCCCCGTGGATAAATGGTCTTAATTAATTAATATCATCGGATCTCTTTAATTATTGCCCCTCTATGTAGCTCCCCCTCCCCCCCCCCCTCGAATAAGTCCCCCTAGAAAGAAACAAACAAGGGTTAAGCATATGCAAACTTTGTACTTGCGTTAACTATTTCCCCCTTTTGAAATAGGAGCGAATAGATAAAGAGATCTGTATCAATAAGTAAAAAGCCGTCTGAATGTTTATAAGAGGGACGCTATTTTACGTGAACACATTTTAACCGAAAGAGCTGGTTACATGGATTTTTTTTCACATGCACATTTGAGTAAAAAAAACTGAAATTATATTTTGTTAAGAATTTGTTATTTGAGTTTTAAAAATCTGGGTCTTTTTTGGGTGAAACAATTGTTCACAAATTAGTATAATTAAAAGTTTAACGTAAAAAGCTATTTTGTCTGAGTTCGTTGGTGATCTAGTTTGATGTTAGTGATAGAGCTTATGGGTTTCTAGTTTATGATTGCTAGGTCCAAAAACATATTCAAAATGACCCTGGTTGGCCAAAAATGCTACTCATACACTTTTCATGCATTTCGTAAATGCAAAAAATTGCATGAAAAGTCTATGATAAGTGATTTTTATACAAGGAAACTTTTTATGCATATTTTTCACTAAACCAAAAGTGTTTTTTTTTCTAAGTTTCTTCTCGAAAAATTTGGGTTGTGTTTGTAACCAGAAACAAGTGACAGAGACCATGGTTTCTCAACGCTAGAGTCATCAAAAGTTTGATAGTATTGCAAGAACAATGCACTGGAATTGACCTCAGTATAAAAAATGTAGCAAACTTTAAGTTTTGGCAAAAGTTTTTATGCGAACTTTTCGAATTAGAAATTTTGATTAACTAAACATTCCCAAGGCATGCATATTATGCGATACAAAAGAGATATTTTTTTGAGCGTTTCTGAAAAAAGTAATCAGCTTACATGTTTGTTTGAGCAAAAGTTTCATTTTGCTCTTAAAGAACACAAAATTGTTTCTTTTTTGGAGGAATTTTGAAACTACTTCAAAAATTTGTTATCGCCATCAGAAAAATGCTTCTCATGCAACTTCCCTTTATGGAAAGTGTTTCATTAGCGTTTGTTTGCCAAAAACTTTTTTCTTTTTTAGGACGAAACACTGATAGAAAACGGAAAAAAATCTTTAACATTTTTTCTTTTAAAAAAGTTTTATTTTTGGCTTTTTTCATAGACTAAGTTTATGGAATTGTATGTGTATCATTTTCCGTCCATGCAGGCGAACACCCAAATCCAAAATTCCTCCTCAGCTTCAGCGCATAAGGATAAGCAAGATTGCTCATAACAGGGCGAATCCCTGAATGTTCCGACTGCTCTTCAAGGTCTATGGAGAAATGCTCGCTTCACAAAATTACAAAAACCATTAATCCACACGCCATCTTAAGTACAAAATGACAAAATTGATTGTATCAGGACGAACTCTTGAACGCTTTGACGGCCCTCTAAAGTCTATGGCGTAGTGTTTGCCTTCAAAAAACTGATGAAGTTTTCAAAAAGAAAAAAGCTGCAAAAAAACAGTCTATTGGAATTACAAAGTGATTTAGTTCGCATATAACAAAAAATTGAAGAGACAAAAGAGTATGCCTCAATTCAATTAGAAAGAATTTCTAAGACGGATTACATCACAGTTCGCGTGTTAGTAGCATGGCATATATTGCTTGTTTTTTAACTATCGCAAATTGGAAAAATTAGCAATCTTTTAACCCCCATAACTTTTAAGAACCAATCACCAAGAATAAATTTTTTACACTTTGAGCTCAGGAGAAGAATAACATTTGAATGACATGAAAAAAATGTGTCTAAGAAGCTGCAAATTGTTTGGAGACAAAATCAACTCCCAGCACAAATATTTCGTCATTTTCTTCGAAAATTGGAACATGCATGCAGCAAAGTATTCAATAGTACAAATATCATGCCTCAATTAAATTTTGAATGATTTCTAAGACGTATTAAGGTTCCACTCATGCGTTAGTTTTCCCAAATAGGTCAAATTGGCAATGTTTGAACCCACAAGACTATAAAACATGATCACAGGTAAACTTTTTTTTAATTGAGCTCAAAACACCAATAATTTTCTGGTGCTTTCAAATGTTTGAGCCAAAAATGTCTGCTTAAAAAATTGAAATTTGTATGAAAAAAAAACAATCGAGCCCAAATACTCTTGTCACTTTCTTCGAAATTCGGAACAAAATTCATTCTCATCAATTCATCCGATTTATTCTCATTCAATCTACGCTCATTAATAACGTGAAACTTGACACTGATCCTGGGGTCAATTACTTATACGTTCAATCTTAGAAAAATTCGAACAATAATATTTTAAATGAAACTAATTTTTCAATGATTTTATTGCAGTTCGAAATTCAAACTCAATTTCATAAACACGAAACTAATTTTTGATTTACTAAAATTTGTTTTTGTATGTGACACTTGGATTTGCGAGCTGACGAACAGACAAATCCAAAATTTTTCTCTCTTTGGTTGCTGAAAAATTTACGATTAAATTTTAGTTTAATTTCAGAATTTCAGGCTAAGTTTTTGAGGGAACAACTTCAGAAAAAAAGTTCACTTATGAACAAACAGATGTCATAATGAATGTTCAAGTAGCCATGCTTTTTGTATTAAAAATCATACAACATACTAATTACATGCTTTTTTTGCTTTGTTCTAATTGGTAAACTTAGCACTGATAATTGGTTACTCAATTGCCTTTTTAAAAGTCATGAACGTTATAAATACTGTCAATAAAATCTTGGTTAATTTTGTTTCAGGAAAAATTTTTAAAACTTGTTCACGCTCAAATCTGATTTTTATTTGTGGTTTGACTTATGATGTTGTTTCAGGTTCAGTTCACTTCTCTTGTTTAAAAACTCCACTGTTGAACAGCAAAATTTCAAAAATCACAAAACGTGTGATCAACTTCTATTTTCGAAAATTGATTTCAAACTGCAGATTTCCCAGCGGAATTAAAAAATTATGTATTGATCCTTATTTATCAAAATGGTTTTATTTTATCAAAAAAGTGTCAGTCATAAATTGTTCTCGAAGTTCAAAGAGCTTTAACGCCATATATTTTTTCTTTTGAAATTCGAAAATTGAAGTGTTTTGAAATACAAGTCAGTTTTTTCAGTTTTTTTAATGTTTCCTTGCTTTTTTCCAAATGTTTGTTTCCTTGCTTTTTTCCAACTGTTTGTTGGCTATGTTTTTATAATTGTAGTCTTTTTGAATGACTTCGAAATAGTTTTTTTTCATAAATGGTAATTTTGGATACAGCGCAAAAGAAATCATATGTTGACGCGTATGGTTTCTGTAAGTTTTTTATATTTTTTACCGGTTGTAATTAGGACAAGCTTATTTTCTCAAGTGTTCTTTTTTCAAGAATTAATTAGTTTATGGATCGTGGGGTGGGCAGATCTCATTCGTATCTAGAATGCACTATGTCAACCTCTAACTGAAATGATATTATTTGCTTCATATTCATAACATTCTCGAATGAATTCCACAGACTAATGGCCTTTTTTTTGAGAAGTAAATTTTTGCTGATATTTTTCTGTTTGCAGATATTAATTGACTTTTTCCAAATTTTCCTTATAAATGATTATTTTTTTTAGTCGAATCAATTATTACGCCAAAACTAAGGGTTCAATTGCTGAAAAAAACGGCTCTTTTCCAGTTTACCCCCTTTCAAAATCAATTTTGAAAAGCTTATATAACATTGTCATATTGCAATGAAATTTGGCGTGGTGAACAAATCGACAATTGTGAACAAATTTGTTCTTCATACTGTACAGCGTAACATCACGCATTTAGCCGTTATAGCACGTAAAACAAACCTAAAACTCGGTATTTTGAAAGGGGGATAACTGGAAAAGAGCCAAAAAAACTATCAATTATTGACTTTTTTGTAGCCTAACAAAATTTAGGATTAGTGCATTTTCAAAAAAAAATTGCGTAAAACGTTAAACAAAATTGGAAACAAAAAATTGGTCTTCTATTTGCCCATGTGAAGTGAATATCCCCTCACCCACCCCCTGAAAAAAATTGATAATTCAAGCAGCAAAGCCAACATGCAAAACGCTGAATTCCGATTGGCTGAAAAACAGTTTTTGTAAGCAAGTGAACAATCTCCTCACTAAATATTGATTTTGGAGGGGAAATTGTTCATATGGGCCAATAAAATGTCAAATTTTTTGAAAAAAAAAACATTCTGAACCAATTTTCGAAATTCAAGAGGCTCAAATTGAACAGGTAGTTTTGGTTTTATTTTTGATTGAGTTTAAGAAATATCCCTTTTAGGGGTAAAATTTTAGACCCGAATTGCGCAAAAAAATACACCATGTTAATTCCGTTAAAATTCTAAGCAAGTTTTGTCTCATCATTTTTCGCCCAATATCAACTCATTTGGAGAAAAACGCATTTTAAAATTGCATTTTTTTTTATTTTGTCGGGATAATTTAAACCACCACTGTAAGCATACAAATCAATTACAAAAATGTCTATCAGTAGAATAAGATCTTCTGTCGAGGCGTTCGAGACCTACAATTAAAATATGATTGCTTTTTTTTTTCCAGGACAAGAAACGCAAACACGAGACCAACAAATCCTATAGTTTGTGGCGCATTCTCAGACTTATCCCAGCGCATTGTCGCAGAATATACAGACGCATCCACAGAAACGACGGCGACAGCCCCAACCCAAATAACCTACCCGAGGGGGGCAGCATTTCTCTCAGAGGAGGATCCATCATCGACCCACAGTCCCATCACACCTCTCGGAAAGTTCCGATCACTCGGAACTATTCTGAGGAAAGAAACCCGACTCGAAGTGAGAAGTTGCCGAGAATAATCAGTACGGAGCAAGACGAAACCGAAGAGCGGGTCAATTCGGAAAGTTGTTGCGACGACAACGCTGAAGCGTCCAACTCGGAAGTTGAAATTCCCCCTTTTTCGGATAACCACATTCCTTGGGATGCACTTGACCACCCAAATATTTACAGAACGACACCTGTTCGCCAGTATAGTGAAGATAGATTTCAAAGCAAACTTCAAAGCAAACTACATCGGGGAGAAACTACTTAGATTCTTAGTTCGAACACATTTTAGTTCAGTTCACGTCTTTTGTAGTTGTCAATTTACACATTTTCATAGCGAAAAATAACTCAGAATTTTGAGCATAGTGACACGCGATTTTTTTTATGGGGAGGGGAATTTTGCTGCCAGTTTTTATACTGCCAGTGCCAGTTCAAGTACTTCGAGCACTGCTGAAACCACTGAATGACCATATTTGATAAACATTTCTGAACCGCATATTTCACGAATTCTTGTTTTTTTTTGCACTTCGCTCTATTCGGCTGCAGAGTAAAATATTCAGACCGTTTTTCTGGGAACCTAGAAACGTTATTGGAAGTTTCATTGCACAATTGAAGGAGTTATAATTTTCTTATTGAACCACGTTTGACCTTCATGTTGTTACAGAATTAAAAGCGCAAAAAAATCACTTTCGAGCCCAAATTCTTACACTTTTTCAGTGATGGGATCAAATCTATTCCAAAGAGTGAAATGATAAAAACAAAAGAAAATCAGTTTAATTAGAACCAACATTGGCTAGAAGTATTGAAAAGATGTAGTCAGTAACACTTGCGGCGTGCAGTATTTTTCAAGTTTCAAAAAAGAAATAATTATACACAGAGGCAAAATGGAGCTTCGCATCACTTGCGATATAGCACAAACATTAGAAAAACACAAGTAAAAAAAATTTTAAAAGGTAAAAAATTAAGTCTATCAAATATAATGTATGTCTCGATGAAAAAAAAATCTACGTAAAAATTACAAGCATAACATTCGAAAGTAAAATATAAATAAGGACTTTTTTCAAGCTTACACCAGTTGGGCCGAAAAAAAAAGAAAAAAAATTTTTGTAAGAACGAATTGATTTTCTAAGAACGTTGTAAGTACCCCTGAAGCTACCAGAACAATATTTACAACTGTAATGATAATTGCTTACAGCACAAGAAGAATCCTTGATGTGGCAACTAAGCCTATAAAACTTGAACGGACATACGAGAGTCCGACCGTTCAAGTTCTACCAAGAAAGTTTTTAATTGCACACAAACTGGGAAAACAAACTGTCCGACCGGGACTCGAACCCAAGAACTTGAGGCACAAAGATGACAGTGAGAAGGAACCTGAAAATTGCGAAGGTACAATAGTAGAGCAAGATGAAGATTTGTAAGCAAAACTGTTTACGGGAAAAAACATTCGTCCCGATTACAAGACACTTGCTCATCGCTAATCGGATATAATATTTAAAACTCCAGTTCTATCTTTCTTGAACGAGACAATATTTAAAAAAACTATTGCAAAAATAAAAAGTTTTGAAAAAAGTCACTTAAACTACAAAACTGCGTCAAAACTTTCTAAAGAATCATTTTGTAATAATTCATTCGAGAAGTTAAACAATTCCAGTTTCATTTAAAAAAAAAGATTTAAAGCCTATGCGAAAAATGTTTTTTTTTTACATCGGGAAAACCTCTTAGAATTCGAAACTGAATTTGAAGCATCATTAGAGCTCAAAATCAAATAATTTTGTGCAGAAACATGATAACATGCACTGAGTAACTTCCTCAGAATATGCAACTTTTAAATTGAAAAAAATTTGTTTTGTTGCTAAAAGATTACTTTTCAAATTTAAATACGTTTAAGGCGTTCGGATAATTTTTTTATTATGACTGAGAAAAAAAGCAAGATCGGTTTTTTAAAACTAGGATAATACTTTTAGAAAAAATTGAAAGAAATGAAAACAACAAGGTCGGTTTTTAAAAACTAGGATAATACTTTTAGAAAGAAATGAAACAACTAAATTTCAAAGAACTTTAAATATCAATTTTAATTTTTTATTCTGGTTCATAGCAAAATCTGTTGATTTGATTGATAATTTCAGCTTTATAAGAATAAAAATCAATCAAAAAAAATTGTAAAAGGCAAATTTTGAGCTGAAAATTTCAAACACACGAAATTAGAACATAGTAACAAATCATAAAAACCGTTGATATAGCCGATGGTTGTTGATATTCGAGTTAATGGCTGTATTGCTTATGTTTTTTTTAGGTTGTTGGGTATAGATCTCAAACAAAAAAAGGAGATTACGAGCCCATCTGTGCACTGAACAGATGCACAATTTACTGTGGGTAAGTCTCTGGAATCCAGAGACAAGTCTTTAAACATTAACAAGTAGTCAGAAGGATCAAAGAAAATGAAAGTACAAAAGAAGATCTAAGAGAGCTTCCTTATTGTGGAATCCGCTGACAAATCCTAAAATACACAGTTTGGTCTCGCAATGAAAGCAACACTTTTTAAACAAGCATATATGTTTAAACACCAGCCACCAACAAAAACAGATCAAAGTGAACGTGCCAAAAACAAATAGCATTGGATCAGTGCAAATATATTGAACCCAAGCATTAAATTATAAGAATTACGTTGGAAAGAGCGTTTGTTTCTGTATAAAAAACACGGGGTGAGCGCAGGCATGCTGATGACTTAATATGAAAACTTTGAAGGGTCGGTCATTAGTTTTTCATTGAGTTGATTCTGCAAAAACTGTAATTCAATTTCTAAACATTTTGCAAACTGAAATCATATAAATATAGCACTTTGAAAAAAAATACGCACATAGCACTTTCACAGCATTCGCCAAGTATTATGAGTGAGTAAAAACAAAAACAAACTATCGCATCCTTTCATATTTGAAACTTAAAAATTTCAACGAACTGAAAATTTTCTTATTCACTAAAAAATTTAAAATATGGAAAAAAGCGAAATTGGACTTCGCATACAAAAGAAAAATTAGAGCTTTTAACTATCTAACTCATGCAAAATTTGAACAAATTTTAAACTCCTCCTTGCGTTTTAGCAACTAAAACTTAGTTTTGAACAAACTTAAAAAAATTTTAAACATTGTTTTTTTTTCAGAAAATTCACTGCAAATGTTTGTTTATAACTCTCCTCCGCACGAAAACTAAAACCCATCTTCGCTTTATAAAGTATGATTCTCGCAATGAACACAAGAATAGCGCATTTTTTAGCGAAAAAGTTTGCAAGGTAGGAAAAACCGATTCAATTCATTATTTATGGGATGGGAAAGCTCAGGTGAAACTTTTTTCATTATGACTCGACCAAATTGCAAAAATCAGAAGTATAGTCTTTTAGAAAAAATTAGAATTAGAAAAAACTTCAACAGAGACAAAAAAAACTCCGAGAGATTTTTCTTGTAGCTTTAATTAAGAACATAAGCACAGAAACTTCAGAGTTTGTCAAATTTTGACCGGGTTTCTCTGGTTACTACGAAATTGACTAATTTCAGTGTTTGTCTTTTATCAAGCTCATTTTTTGAGATTACAAACCTGCCAACAAAAAACAGCGCCATTCCACAGTTGAATAATCACTTTTGTTTCAAATTTTTAAGTTTGTGAAAGCTTTTTTTTTCTGGCAGTTGCATTGTGTAATACAGAGGCGAAGCAGAGCTTCGCGCCACTTGCGATACAACGCAAACATAAAACATAAGAAGGCAAAAAATGATGAAAAAAAAACTGGATGCACTAAATTAATCGTACGTCTCAATAAAAGATAACTAGGATCCCTGCTAAAGCTAGCTATAATATTTTAGGAAAAAACTAAAAAACATCCGATTACAAAGTTGTCATTTTGAATGGTCGGAAAAAAATGAAAGAAGTTAACCACAAGACCTTAAGTGTATTCATTTAGTTCATTGAGACGGAAACTATTTTTTATCTAAATGCTTGGCTAAAATCAACTGCTTCTGCAAAAAAAATTTGAAAAACAACTTTTTGTAAGGTGACTGTATTGTGAATATTCTACACTTGTTGCAAAGCTTCCGCTTCGAATTGAAATTGAATAACCAGCATTCTCAGTTTATCTCATTCTTTGGTTTCTAAAACCTAAATAAACAATTTGTTAATTAGGCAAAACTTCAAATTTTCAGAAAATTTAATTTCAAAAAGATTAATACTGATTTTATCTACAGCAACTAAATTACGAAAACTTAGACAACAATAATTTTAACACAATTTCTATTCAAATCACACGTTGATCCAGATATTTGAAATGTGCACACAAACCTTCAAATTAGCTAATGCTCTTAGGGTCACAAGTTTCATTAGATGTAACTTAATTGAAGAAATTTGAAGATTTGAAGCGATAATGTAATAGTACTTTGTTTATGGAAACTTTTTGCTGATCTGCAATATACTTTTATTTAAACCATTCAATGGCTCCTATTTACTTCTCTTTTTAAACAATTTTGTAGCTTCGTAGAGCTTCGTAGGATATATGCCTAAGTTAATCAAGCTTCACTGATTGCATTACTTTGAAATTAATATCATTTGTCTTTCAAAATAAGATAACTAAAGGCTGAAATTCTTTAACTATCAACGCCAAACGCTAAATACAGCACCTCTCCGATTTACTTTGTAATATTATGGGCTAAACAACATAGAAAATGAATTTTCAAAATCATAGTTCTAGTACAGCTGTTAAGCTAGAACAAGAATCAATTTACCAATAAAAACTTGATTTGTAGCAATGTGCTGTGTATTATTTAGCCCAACTACAAATAGATATAACCTAAAGTTAACTGTTTATGAATCCATAATTTTATATTCTGTTAAGTCAACCATGTCGGGCAGTGGTTGTTTTTCGTATGTCGGTCACTAATCCTGAGGCACATCATTCACTCAGTTTTTTAATCACATCCATCCATTCAAAGTTGCGCCTTGCTTGTTAACCATGGAGAGAGGCGGCAACGCAATTCCATACACGGAAGTGCTCTCGGTACCTTCAACTGCCAACGTGTAAGCCGGTTCCGTTCCCAGCTGTCCCGAGAGACCCACGAATCTGAGTTGATTGGAGTCACATAACACTGTCTTATACAGTAAAGCTGGTCTGTTCATTGAGGAATGTGTGAATCCTAGCATACTGGCCACTACTTGCTGTCCTTCGCAATGATTCTCTTCACCTTCGGTATGTCTTCGCTTCTTCTCAGTGACGTCATTCGCTGATGCGTCCGCTTCCTTGGACTCCTCAACTTCGCCTGCAGATGCTTCTGGCTTCTTCTCGACGGTCTCTTCATGTGATTCTTCTTTCAGGCCCTAAATACACACAGGTTTTTTTTTCCACAGACTGATAAAACAATTGATGCGCATTTAAAAACCATAAATTTTGTCGAGCTTAAGTTGCCCACATAAATCTATGCCCAATGTTGTCATATGGTTGCTAAGAAGACAACTCCACCGGGTTTCAAAAAAATGTGCACTTTTCGGATGGTCTTCCAAAAATGGGTAAATCTAGTTAAGTCTTCAGATTTACTGAAAGATACCTCGAAGTGCCAGGCGACGAAGTAGTTGAACCGGGATCCCACCACGTACTCCACTGGCATCTGACTGTCCAGATGGAACTGGATAATGTCTCCAGTCTCCGCATGAGCTGTCTTGTCACTCTCCTCCTGGTCCAGATTGTACAGAGCATAGTGACAGGTGGAAGGAGGCTGGTTGTCGTCACACAGTTCCACCAGGGAATACTTAGACTCACGATCCTTAGCTACCGATCTGAAACATGCCCGTTTTCTCAATTGATTCATAGAGATGTTATAAAAGCTTCTTCGGAAGACCCAATTGATTTTAAAAAAACATTGAAACCAAGTCAACATAGTAAAAACTCAATCAGTTTAACAGCAAGAAAAAAAACTACCACAAGGTTTCTACTGATTACTGATAACATAATTGAGCACCAAATAACAAGTCTTTCGTGAAGTAAACATGTAAAAATATGACTAACTTCACAGTGTGTTGTGGGATGTCCATCTTCCACAGTTCCTTTTGATCTCTTCCTCTGGGCACGAGTACCTGGTGGGTGGAGAACATCACAAAGCCCACCGCAGACGGAGACAGAGTCCACTCTCTGAATATAAACATACGTCTCTTCGAAAAAAAATTGATCAATTCTAATTTATATAGTGTCCTCATGTTCAAATACAAGGCTGGGGGAAATTATCATCTTAAAACATAGCCAACAGATAATTCGAAAAGTGTAAACGAACAAGGAAACCGAAAAAAAAAGATTTTTCAACCATTTTCCAATTTTCGCATTTCGAAAAATTGTATCACCTTACAGCTCTTCGAGTTGCAAGAATTAATTAAGATTTGCCTATTTCTTACAATAAGTCGATTTCGATAAAACTAGTTCAATAGGTGACTTTTTATTCCGTAAAGAATTAAAGCCCATTTTTGAAACTTCGGCATTAATTGCCAATCCGATGATTTTGGGCATACACATTTCGTATGCTACCACAGCAGCTAATTTTTCCTGAAGTAACTTCAAGACAGATCTCAAGTAGAAGTGCATGTCATAACACACATGTTATAACTTACCCTTCTGGGTTCACTTCGTAGTTGAACTTTTTACCCAACTTCATCTCAACTTTTCCCTCCTCATTAACCGTGGGCAGATGAGAGGTGATAGCGAATGCCGAAGTGCCGTTGGCCGATAGGGTGACCACACGTGTCTGGTGTAGAATAGTGTGCTGGTCCAATACAGTGTGGCCTGAGATTTCGGCCAGCTGCACCTTCTGTTTCGTCAGAGTGGGAGCCGCAATGAAGTGACCTTCTGTCGAAGTCTGAAAGAAGTTGATGTTCATAATAATTAGAAGTCTGATTAACATCCCTCAAGGTTTCGAATATTTTCATCCACTCAGTAAATTCACATTAAATATAACGCTTGCCAATCGCAAGCGTAACTACACTATCCGAAATTTATCAATTGATATCATGATGAACATAGCCAACTGACAGTTGGAAAAGATTAATGAACACAAGGAAACTGAAAAAAAAAAACGGACTTGATTTTTCAAATCAAAAACCTTCAACTTTTGAATTTCGAAGAAAAAAATAGATGGCCTTAAAATTCTTTGCATTTGTAGAACAATTTATGATGGACCCTTTTTCGTTAAAATTAACCCAATTTGAGAAAACTGGATCAATACGTAACACTTATATTTCGCTGGGAAATCTGATAATTAATTTCCATTTTCGAAATCAGAAGTCGATCACGTTTTTTGCGACCTTTACACTTTTGCTGTTCGATAGCATAATTTGCCTTCCTTTTAACAAGGAAAATGAACTGAACTTAAAAAGAAATCACAAGTCAAACCGCGAAAAATCAAAATTGAGCGTGAACAAATTTTAAGGCTTTCCTGAAAAAAAATTCAGCAAGACCTTTATAAGAGTCTTCACTACGTTCATTACTATTAATCAGCCTACTACTGTTGAAGCACTAACTTGAGAACGCATGCCAGTCGCAAAAGTAAAAGAAAACATATCATTTTGATTTTGTACTCATATATTTTTGAAGCTCAAGCTCATTTACAATCAGAATTTATTAAACAAAATCGTGAAATGTTAACATAGAGATAAACTTAAAAAGATAAGACGTACCGGACACGTCTGTAGGAATCCGTAAGTGGCACTGGACTCTTCAGCTGAGAGAGGAATTAAGTCGAATTCTTCACATCCTTCGGCCACAACGCTTGTCATGTTAGCTATAAACAGAACCAAGTAAAATTCATACATCCCCGTTTCGTATATTGCTACAGACTCAAGTTCGAATTCATTGCGAAACAAAAACGATTCCCATATTTTTCAATCAAAATTAAATTTATTCAAAAATGATCTGTTCTTAAAATAGGTAGCAAAAAGTAGAAATACAGAATTAATTTCAAAAAGCAAATTACCAATATCAAAAATCCTCCATACAAAAGCTAGTTTTGCTCACAAAAGTTATGTCTCAAGGTCGCTTGAAAATTCAAGATTGCATGCAAATTTGTTCAAAATTGGCAGATTGCTTTTAATTTTTTTGCAACTGTATAAATCAACTATTAATAGATGGTTGCTTGAGTGAGGCAACATTACCCAGCCCAGAAAAATTACCAAATAAATGCATGTAGCTCTTAAACAGGATCACAACAGCGGTTCTCCGTTAATAGCCAAATAGCTCGTATGTTGGTCCTTTCCCTTGTGGATATACCGTTTTAACAACTAAAAAAGAACTTCAATTGGCGAAGCATGCATTTTGTGTTCCAACTCACACTTGGACTTGCTGGAGGTGGTCTTCATGTCAAGCATGTAGTGCTTCTTGTCTGCACTTTCAAATGCACACCACATTTTCTTGCGTTCTCCGCCACTCACACACCTGTGCACAATTAACATGTCTACCCTAATGCCAATTCCAAATCGAACTAAAATAATTTCGTTTCAGCGAATTGCAGATTATCTATAAAAATCGATGGTGGATTTAGGATTTTCTCGACGACTTCTTTTTTTTGACCGGCCCAATTGATTTTCCGAGCTCTCCCAGATCACTAAAAAGACCCTGAATTGGCCAAACTTTTTAGATACTTTCCCAACTCAAAAAAAAAAGAAAACTTTATTAGCAAATTGAAATAACTTTCAAGAAGCAAGTGTAAATCAAGAAGCAAATGTATATAGTATATAAATACTAAATACTTCAGAAAAATTTTAGGGTTGGTCCGCCGAAATTGAGCGCTTAAAATAGTACCAAAGGGGGGACCCTTTGGATAGTCAAAGGGTCATATCCCCTACCCCTCCCCCCCTCTAAATCCGCCCCTGTATCGAAGTCTTGTCTAAGAATAGTCATTTTAGGTAACATCCTTATATAAGGGAATGTTTTTTTTTTGCTGAGCCGAGGTTTTTGCTACTGGAAATTTCTCAAGGTACCGCAATTGTAACCGAAATATACCAAAAAAGATGTATTTAAAAGTTTATGTAGCAGCAAAAAACTTCCAAGATCGTGAATAAGCACGCTTTGGCAAATTTTACATCTAAATATCGTTAATTCAAATATGCGAATGTAATGTTGCAAAACGAAAAACGGACCACCAAATAACAGAGTCATCAATATAAATGTTAATTCAAGAAAACATGCCGGAGAATACAGGAAAGAAAGACGAGGAAAGAAGACTTACTTTATGGATCCATGGGGTTCCAATCCCACTGGCCTCACTCCAATAGGCGAGCCAGTCTGTGACGTCACCACTGAAATCTCCCCCACACATTCCACGTATGACTCATCGACAACACACTTGGACGAATCCTCCCCCTCGACTTGGCGTCGTTTCCTGTTGCTCGAAGTGTCTGCTGGTTTGTTTTGGTCGTACGGAGTGAAGAAAGCGACGTCATCTTTGGCGTCTCCGTCCATGTCTCCTAGTTGCGATACTGATCCACCAGAAGCTACAAGACAACATGGCCCCTTGCATAAGTTTGAAATCAAGGAGAATTTTGCGGATTTTCAAAAAAATTTTGTCGACCATTTTTTATTTTTTAGGTCGAAACAAATTGATTTTTTGAGCTCTCCCAAACCACTTTGAAGACCCCAATTTGACCAAACTTTCTGCACCGCAGGCAAATTTTTGAAAAAAAGATTTTAAAAAAGCGTTTTTAGGCACTTTTTGGAAAATTTCGACCAAAAAATCGCGTTTTTTCGGCGCGCGCTCACCCCTTACAATTAGTATAGATTGCCTTTAAAAAAAATTTTTCAAGCCGCAGAAAGCTCCTTTAAAAAAATTTTCACGTCAGTCAGCCAAAATGGATATCTCAAAATAGATCAAAGGGGGGACCCTTTGGGTCGGCAGGGGGTCGAATTCCTGAGGGGAGGGCGTCCCTCCCCCCCTAAATCCGCTACTGAGCACAACTTCAGTTTATAATTTCCTTCAACATGCTAACAGTATGATCATCTGGGATAAAATCAACATGCAGCTTAGTCTTTTGCAAGATCAGTGTCCACTACCAACCTGACTGGGTTAGTGTGTTGGTCCTCTCATCCATCTGGGCTCCTTCGGAACAGGGCAATACGAACACAAAAACTAGCACAAATGCCACCAAAAGAGCCAGAGATAGGAAGAAGAAAAAAGTCCTCAACTTGGACATGCCGAACATGAAGGTGTCCTGGTCGGAATCGGACTCGTTGTCGTCCTCGTCATCCTCCAGTTTTTTTCCCGCCACTTCTAATTGGGATATGTCTTTCTCGTTGGCTCCCAGGGATGCTTTAGAACCATGGTGTCCATTCGCTATCGGATTGTCATCTGCAAAAAGAATTTGACGGTATTATTTTATCACAAAGAACAGAAAAGGGTCTACGCAAAAATTGTGTCGTTTTCCTTAACGGATACGAGGATGCTTCGAAATTGGTTCGATATTATTAGGAAAGGGAGCATATTAAGATATGACAGGCTAAAATCGAGCACTATCAGTAAATTAGCTTCAAACCTGTTTTTTTTTGTTTTGTTCACATAAATTTTACCAATATGTTTTCAACTAACTTTTAACTCAATGCTTTGCAACTTTTTAGGTTGATTCAACGCTCTGGACAAGATCGCAACATTTTTTACAGAGGCGAAGCTGCATTTTTTGCACCACTTGCGATTCAAAACAAAAAAGCTGCAGAAAAAATCGAATGTCGAAACACTAGATCTATCAAAAATTAGGCTAATCTTGAAAAAAAACATGCGAAGACAGCACGATGGGAAATAAGCATCGGGAAAAATTTACGAAACGGCAACAAAGCCAAAAATACTTTTAGCAGAAACCCTTTAAGCCAAAAAAATCGAGACTTACAACTTATAAAAATTTAAGAAGTCTCCCTCACCCTCAAAACACACAAACAAAACTCTATTTGCTCGTCAAATTAAACAAAATGGGCTAATAAGCCAATATAATTCAGACCGAAATCTATTAAGCTGAGAAAAAAGCCAGGAAAAATTCAAAAAAGTTTACGACTAATAAAAAATTATTAAGTCCCCTCGCCCTAAAAACATACAGACGCAAAATAAGGCTATTAAGCCGATATAACAGGACGAAACCTATCAAGCCGAAAAAAGAGCAAAAAGAAAAATCATTGCCATAAAAAAACTAACTATAATTTCTATAAAGATTTTAGCAGTTTTGCTATCTAGAAATTAGCATTGAAAATGTTTTCATTGAAACGACTCAAAATTAGATCTCTAGGACGATAAAATATCAGCAAATACTTGCGCAGGAAAAAGTTTTGAGCGAAAGAAAAACAAGAAAATATACGACATAAACCAAAACACTAACAGCAACTACAATGTAAACTTCTTACAGCAAAAAAAACAATTCTACGATTTGTCAACTAAGCCGACAAAACAAGCAAAAATAAACCCATAACTTTTTTAAACGGCTTAAGTACCGCTTGAAAAAAGCAGTGCCTGTCAAATTCGAAGCCAGAACTTTAGCCGTCCCAGGAGAACTCGTTATCTCCAGACCAAGAGTGACGGAGACGCATAGAAACTTGAATTCGTTATTAAAGGAACCAAAGTTTACCGTTTCTAATTTTGACCATTCTGCGAAAATATGAGGCAAATTTTTAAAAGAGAAAATATGTATATAAATTTGGGTAATAGTTTACTTGTTTGGTCCCTCAAAAACGCTCTGGTTCCTAATAAAAACAGAGGTACAGCATGTGGTTATTTCTAACTGTAAGCATCTTAATTTCTCTATGTTGCATGCCAAACGGGGCAAGAGAGTCTAGTGGGTACGAAATCGGTTATCAACCCCAAGGCGTAGGTTGGAAACCGTCCTGGCTTTTCGTTTTAGAAAATAGGCGGGACCAATCATCGAAACTAGTTTTGTCACGGGAACAAACAGCTGAACTAGTACCTAAATTTGATTTCATTAATCATCTTTTGAGACAAAAATGGTCCTCCCATTCTTTTACCGAATATTTTTTTATCAAAAACAAATCGACTTATTTCATTGATACAAGTTAAAGAGCCATCAATTTAACACAATAAGCATGAAACAGACTTTTATTGGAGCTATGTACAGTGCTGATTTAAATTAACCGGACAAAACGCGTTAAACTTGAAATTTAAAACGCATTTTTCTCAAATTGGGTTGAGTTTAGGTGAAAATTTATGAAGACAAAATTTGCTTAAAATTTTAGCAGATTTAATATGGTGTAGTTTGTTTTGCGAAATTCGGGCCCAAAATTTTACCCCACATTGGCTTTCCTTAGTTAATCAAAAATTACGCCGAAAATACCCAGTCGATCACAGACATAATTATATCAAAGTGAGCCCCTTACGTAGCCCAACAAACTTTATGAAGGTAATAATCTCCAAAATATTGTATAAGTTAATTTATTTTTGTTTGATAGACAAAAAAGGTCATTTTTACTATATAAAATACCAACTTTTTATTTAAAAACAATTTTTAAACAATTTGCATTTTTTTTGGAGAAAATACCCTTCATAAAGTTTACTGGGCTACGTAATGGGCTCACTTTGATATAATTATGTCTGTGATAGACTGGTTATTTTCGGCGTAATTTTTGATTAACTAAAAAAAGCCATGATGACCCATTTTTGGGGTAAAATTTCGGCCCCGAATTTCGCAAAACAAATTACACCCTATTAATTCTGCTAAAATTTTAAGCAAGTTTTGTCTTCATAAGTTTTCACCTAAACTCAACCCAATTTGAGAAAAACGCGTTTTAAATTTCAAGTTTAACGCGTTTTGTCCGGTTAATTTAAATCAGCGCTGTATTCATATGTGCAATGGAGTTCATTCAAGCAAGACAGCGCATGAAAAAAACTACATCTGTTTAATCTTTTGATCAAAAGTAGTCAACATATAGGAGATAAAACTGAATCTTTCAGTGAACTTAAGGAACATGAAACGCTATGACTTCAAACTACACCACAGTATACTAGCAACTTAAAGCGTATACTCTTCTTAAAGATGCAAGCATTATTTTCGTTCATAAGCTGTTGGTTTTAGAGAACTGAATATTCATTCAAATCCTTGGCTTATCTTCTTTCGAACGAAACTGAGACTAAATAAGGCTTAAAGAACACCCACCTTTGTCAAGAAGATACAATTAAAAACCTATTCAATGCCATATGAAAGCACTGACCACAAGTCAGCATCGGTGATTTAATAGATTTTTTACCATCAACGACACGATTCTGAAAGGCTAACTTCAAAATATACAAAATGTCGGTATTTCAAAAACATGATCAATGTGACTTCATATTGCCATCCTTTAACAGGTATATCTTTATAAAAATTGAGGCTCAAGAAAATACAACATGAAACTTGAGCCCCAAATTTGATGTGAGATTTGAGGAAGAAGAGCATCTATAATGTTGGAATTAGATACCCCCAAAGCGTCCCAAATACAACTGTTTCTACACAGTAGAACCTTGAGAATAAACATGGCAAACATTTGGCCGTTTAATCAAACCAGAAATTTTTCAAGACAGTGTCTTCTGTTGGTTCATTGAGATAGTCAAGGCCAAATTTATATACAGAACAGAACTGAAAAACTTTCACAAAAGAAACTTGAAGTCAAAATTGGGTGCTTCAATGTTTTAGAGAAACTAAACTTGAGAAAACTTTGATGAGTTTTTTGTTCCGTAGGTAACTGTCGTCCTTGATTCGACTTTGTTATGAGCACTCGCTCGAAGAGCCGAAAATGTCCGTTGAGATACATCTGTTGCGACTACAAAAAAGTCACTGTATTCCTCCCAACAAAATTCAACACAAAGGCGAAGCTGCGCTTCGAAAACACCTGCGAGAACACGACGAAAAAGCAGCTCTATCAAGGGAAATAAGAAAAAGTAGAAATAGGCTTCGAATTAGCAAAAACTCGGCAGGATTCGAATCTGCGACCTTGCAATTTTGTCTCACGCACTAACCACTCAGCCACGGATGCTTAAATTCCCCAAAACTAGCCACAAATAACGAAGCTACATATGCTAACAAATTGCGAATTCAATGCCCTAAAAAGGACACCAAATACAAAAAGACACAATTTTGGAAAGTAATAAATTGGAAAGCATAAAACCAAATTGAGTTGGAAAAATTCCGAAATCGAGCTTTTTATCATTGTACTCCTGTTTGAAACAAAAACTCTGAAATCGAGCTTTCTATCATTGTACTGCTGTTTAAACGAATAACTTTTTTCGGTTCATTTGATGAATTAAAAATGCTTCAACTGTGTTAACTTTTTATAAATCAAATGCTAAAGCAAATATGACATACTGCTACAGCAGCGCATCGTTCAAAGTTCCACCAAAAGTAGCATTTTCATTTGCGCAGAAGTAATGACGATGAACTCAAACTATCACGAGGCACAATAATCATTCTATCACAACTACGTTCCGTCTATAGTACCAGTCTAACTCCTGCATGAGCAGAATAGATCTTCAAAGGACAAATGAATGCCCTCTATGCAAAACTGTGCCTCACGATCCTTAACGTCTGTTCAACTGTCAGCAAAACGCGACAGACCTCACAATTGAGTGTTCATGAGAAGACCCCATCAAAGCTGCTGCATTCTTAAGCCTCAGCTAACAGCATGGTTCATATGATGACTAGGTCACCTCTGGGGTACCAGCCAGAGGAGTAAGGGCCTGCACATCGAGCCGAAAACATAATGAACTTATAACCGCTTGTACAAACAGGTCATGCCACTAGCAACTAGTGAAGACGCTTTTACAAGAGACGGGCACAGCACTAGAACTGGGGCACTCTTACTACACAGGGCACCCCGATAGAGTCGCAGTGCTTGTTGGCCACAGGACGAGCCGAAACCAATAAATCAACCTGTTTCAACTGAACCAGAATAATGAAAGACAACCAACTGAGCAAGCACCGTCAAACAAATTAGGAACACGGAAAATAATCAAGCACTGAACCCGTGTCAGAAGCCCGTATCAGAAGCATACGAGCTTACAACAAGAACAAGAAGAGCGGAAAAGAACTTTGGTTTCAGATTGACTTTTTTCAGTCAATTTTGATAGGGTCAAGAGTGGTATCGTATAGAAGCCCTGTTATTCGTAATTCGGATTCATTAAAAAATTCAAAAATTTCTCTATGGTTTCAGAGTTGAGAAAAAATGGCCGGATTTTTTCTGTTTTGCAGACTGATTCAGACGAAATTTGACGAGAGGCTGAACTCCCCTATAGTTACAGATTTGGAAAAAGAAAAAACAGGAAATTTAAATTCCCCTATAGTTACAGATTTGGAAAAAGAAAAAACAGGAAATTTAAATAAACTGCTGAAGCTCTTCTTTATTTTGCTAATCATTTCAGAATCTTTTTCATCTTCAGTTGGGAAAATTGTGCGCTTCTTGCACAGCAACCGGCTATCCTTGGTTGTTTATTCAAGTAAACGGTTTATTCGAACCACTTGAAATTTCTGAATCAAACAAGAAACTAAATTTAGCTGTGGAAGGAAGGATCCAAAATTAAATATATTTAAACATCAATTTATGAAAGTAATACATCCAAAACAACAAATGAACCAAAACACTATAGAATATTTGCGTTAAAATAGTGTCATATGTATTGAAGTTATTATAATCAACTGGTCTCAAAATCTTTAACGCTTTTTCAAAGCTTAACTTAAAACTTCGCTGCTTATTATCGACATTTTAAAAAAAAACTGTCCAGAATATTAATGGCCTCAACTTACCATTGAGTAGATTGGTTTCCATAGTCGCATCGAACAATCTGTTTCACAAAATCCACAAAAAATATTTCTTATTACTGATTCAATAACTCGGCCCTAACAAAGTGACATTTAATTTAATATTAGCTAGACCACCAACGAAAATGTACATTCCCTAGTATACATCTAAACTGCCTGGCCGATTTTCAAATTGACTAGTCTTTGAAACAGCGAGAGATAATCAGAGCATCATCATTGCCTCATAAAGTTAGAGGTCTGTTTATTAACTTCTTGTTCAACCATATCATAATCCATGAAGCACGAACATGTTACGAATAACTATTGTGGTCTGAAATCTATTGACCGCAAAATAACAAGGCTATGCTCTATAAGGCTAGCAAGTAGTACAATTCAATCTCGTTCTTCTAAAATGAAGACAGTAGTTAGGGAAAAGTCCTATGATGATTCATGATATCAATTCCAACTTCTGTAATGTTGTTTCGTTGCAAATTTCGATCTATCAGCAAACAAAAACAAGGATAACCGGTTGCTGTGCAAGTAGAGCAAAATGTTCCGACCACATTGTTAAAAAAATTAACAAAAAATACTAGCAAAATTTTTTATTCAAATTGCATCGTTTTTTCATTTCGGTGTGATGATAGAATCTAAATGAAAGCCTCGATATCGAGAACCTTCGATCAAAAAGTAAATTAGGTATATTTAACAACAGTTTTCCTTATCAAATAAAATTAAAAAGTCAAATAACTTTCAAAACTTTTCCAAATTTTTTGCAGAAAACTATTTTTCGATCTGAAAATTTCATTACCACGAAGGCGCTAAAAGAATGATCGATAACCAATTTCAATTGATTGAAACTCAGTTATAACTAGTATGAAACTAACAATTACACAGAGGCGAAGCTTCGCTTTGCAAACACTTGCGAGCGCACGACAAAAAGCAGCTCTATAAAGTACAACAATATTAATAAGAAAAAATCCTCGAATTAGCAAAAAAAAATCGTCTGCCTCTGAGATTCGAACCTGCGAACCACTAAAGCCAGGGAAGCTTAATTTTTTACCATTAACCACTCAGTCACAAATAAAGCAGGGAACAGATGCTATGTAATTTCCAATGCTACACTGAAATTTCCAATTAAGTGAACACTTTTAATAATGCGTACCTACTTATTCCCTTTTAGAAAATTCTACACAGGCGAAGCTAAGCTTCGCATCACTTGTGATACAAGAAGATTAAAACAGCAAGAAACTCACGAACTATCAAGGAAGACTTCGAACTTTGTTATCGTTGATGAAACCACTAGAAAAATGAACAAATAGAAAATCAAGTTTTTTAGTTGAAATATATTAAATTTGAAGTTCCAAGTGGGTTTGAATTTGAGCATTCAAACAATTAAAATTGAGGCTTAAGTCTTAACGATCTCTAAATAATATCGGAAATTCATAGGAAACAAAATATTAGCTAAATAAGTCGACAGAATTAAAGCCTATAGCTAATTAGTTGAAAATCAACCAAAATTGTTCGGCAAAATCTTAGGGGAAAAACATACATGTATTGCCCAATCCACAAAATTGATATATGTACTGAAATCAAAGTGGTATACACAATTCAGAAACTAAACTGATAGCTTAATCAAAAGCCGAAAAATCATAATATCGTAATATCGATGTTGAAAGCGTAGCATAGCCAACTGACAGTTGTAAAAGAAAAATGAATGAAAAAAACACTGAAAAAAAATTTTTTTGTTAAAATTAACCCTATTTGAGAAAACTGGATCAATAGATGAAACTTCTATTTCGCTGAGAAATCTGATAATTAATTTCCATTTTCCAAATTCGAAGTCGATCACGTTTTTCTTGACCTTTACACTTTTGCTGTTCGATAGCGGAGTTTGCCCTCCTTTTCACAGTGGATATGCATTGAGCTTAAAAAAGAATCACGAGTCAAACCGCGAAAAATCAAAGTTGAGAGTGAACAAACTTTAAGGCTTTTTCCTGAAAAAAAAAAACAACAAAAAAATAAGCAAGGCCTATATAAGAGTTCAGTACTCCCTTCAGTACTCTTAAAAATTGATGTTTTATCATAATAGATAGAACTACATTTATCCAAATAAATGAAAATAGATTTGAAAAAAAAACCACAAAATAGAATGCAAAATTAGCATGGGAGCAACACTTACCAAGCGGTAACAAAACAGAAAATACCTCAACAGAAACCATTCATGCTGAACAAAAAATCTTAATCATTAAAACACTCTCACTTCCCCTCAGAACACATACGCACACGAACTTTTTTCGGTCATCAAACGTTACAATAAAGGGCCACTAAGTCGATATAAAAAAAATTTCCGAAACCTGTTAGGCCGAAAAAATTGAAAAAGAACAACAAAATTTAAACAAATCGATTTAGTTAAATTTTAACCAATGTAAAAAATCGGCCAGGTTTTTAAAATGCTAAAACACTTAAATTAACTACAGTCGAAATTATTTGCTACAAAAACAAACTATTAATAGCGTGTAACGCACCTCCGGTACTCCGAATTTTTAACAACTCATAAAACCCGCATATATTGAAAAAAGATCTATGATCTTTGAGTGTACTCTGACAGCGCCCAATTACAGGGTTTATAATTACAAATTTTGAACCCTGTATACACAATTCAGAAACTAAACTGATAGCTTAATCAAAAGCCGAAAAATCATAATATCGATGTTGAAAGCGTAGCATAGCCAACTGACAGTTGTAAAAGAAAAATGAATAAAAAAACACTGAAAAAAAAAACGACTGAATTTCGAAGAAAAATATAGACGGCCGTAAAGCTCTTTAAATTTGGGGAACAATTTGATTAGTTTTTTGTTAAAATTAACCTTATTTGAGAAAACTGGATCAATAGATGAAACTTCTATTTCGCTGAGAAATCTGATAATTAATTTCCATTTTCGAAATTCGAAGTCGATCACGTTTTTCTTGACCTTTACACTTTTGCTGTTCGATAGCGGAGTTTGCCCTCCTTTTCACAGTGGATATGCATTGAGCTTAAAAAAGAATCACGAGTCAAACCGCGAAAAATCAAAGTTGAGAGTGAACAAACTTTAAGGCTTTTTCCTGAAAAAAAAAAACAAAAAAATAAGCAAGGCCTATATAAGAGTTCAGTACTCCCTTCAGTACTCTTAAAAATTGATGTTTTATCATAATACATCGAACTACATTTATCCAAATAAATGAAAATAGATTTGAAAAAAAAAACCACAAAATAGAATGCAAAATTAGCATGGGAGCAACACTTACCAAGCGGTAACAAAACAGAAAATACCTCAACAGAAACCATTCATGCTGAACAAAAAACCTTAATCATTAAAACACTCTCACTTCCTTTCAGAACACATACGCACACGAACTTTTTTCGGTCATCAAACGTTACAATAAAGGGCCACTAAGTCGATATAAAAAAAATTTCCGAAACCTGTTAGGCCGAAAAAATTGAAAAAGAACAACAAAATTTAAACAAATCGATTTAGTTAAATTTTAACCAATGTAAAAAATCGGCCAGGTTTTTAAAATGCTAAAACACTTAAATTAACTACAGTCGAAATTATTTGCTACAAAAACAAACTATTAATAGCGTGTAACGCACCTCCGGTACTCCGAATTTTTAACAACTCATAAAACCCGCATATATTGGAAAAAAGATCTATGATCTTTGAGTGTACTCTGACAGCGCCCAATTACAGGGTTCATAATTACAAATTTTGAACCCTGTATACACAATTCAGAAACTAAACTGATAGCTTAATCAAAAGCCGAAAAATCATAATATCGTAATATCGATGTTGAAAGCGTAGCATAGCCAACTGACAGTTGTAAAAGAAAAATGAATAAAAAAACACTGAAAAAAAAAACGACTGAATTTCGAAGAAAAATATAGACGGCCGTAAAGCTCTTTAAATTTGGGGAACAATTTGATTAGTTTTTTGTTAAAATTAACCTTATTTGAGAAAACTGGATCAATAGATGAAACTTCTATTTCGCTGAGAAATCTGATAATTAATTTCCATTTTCGAAATTCGAAGTCGATCACGTTTTTCTTGACCTTTACACTTTTGCTGTTCGATAGCGGAGTTTGCCCTCCTTTTCACAGTGGATATGCATTGAGCTTAAAAAAGAATCACGAGTCAAACCGCGAAAAATCAAAGTTGAGAGTGAACAAACTTTAAGGCTTTTTCCTGAAAAAAAAAAACAAAAAAATAAGCAAGGCCTATATAAGAGTTCAGTACTCTTAAAAATTGATGTTTTATCATAATACATCGAACTACATTTATCCAATTAAATGAAAATAGATTTGAAAAAAAAACCACAAAATAGAATGCAAAATTAGCATGGGAGCAACACTTACCAAGCGGTAACAAAACAGAAAATACCTCAACAGAAACCATTCATGCTGAACAAAAAACCTTAATCATTAAAACACTCTCACTTCCTTTCAGAACACATACGAACACGAACTTTTTTCGGTCATCAAACGTTACAATAAAGGGCCACTAAGTCTATATAAAAAAAATTTCCGAAACCTGTTACGCCGAAAAAATTGAAAAAGAACAACAAAATTTAAACAAATCGATTTAGTTAAATTTTAACCAATGTAAAAAATCGGCCAGGTTTTTAAAATGCTAAAACACTTAAATTAACTACAGTCGAAATTATTTGCTACAAAAACAAACTATTAATAGCGTGTAACGCACCTCCGGTACTCCGAATTTTTAACAACTCATAAAACCCGCATATATTGAAAAAAGATCTATGATCTTTGAGTGTACTCTGACAGCGCCCAATTACAGGGTTTATAATTACAAATTTTGAACCCTGTATACACAATTCAGAAACTAAACTGATAGCTTAATCAAAAGCCGAAAAATCATAATATCGTAATATCGATGTTGAAAGCGTAGCATAGCCAACTGACAGTTGTAAAAGAAAAATGAATAAAAAAACACTGAAAAAAAAAAACGACTGAATTTCGAAGAAAAATCTAGACGGCCGTAAAGCTCTTTAAATTTGGGGAACAATTTGATTAGTTTTTTGTTAAAATTAACCTTATTTGAGAAAACTGGATCAATAGATGAAACTTCTATTTCGCTGAGAAATCTGATAATTAATTTCCATTTTCGAAATTCGAAGTCGATCACGTTTTTCTTGACCTTTACACTTTT